TAGTAGAATTCTTAGGAAAAATTGTTTTCCAGTACCCCAAAACACACACACACAGTCTTTAAAGCTTTGTTCTATTCTTTTGTTTGCCTTTCTTCCCAAACACGTAGAAGCCTTTCCAAGCCAGGGAAATAATTCCAACAGGGCTCTTACAGGCCAAAAAAAAAAAAAAGCAAAAAGGCATAAAGAGAGGAACAACAACAACAAAAAAGATCTCACCCAGATTCACCACGGTGGGTTTTCAAGCGTAGCTGTTCTTTGACTTGCGGTTTCTAGCAGCTAAGTGATCGGCCCTTTTATTGGCCGATCTTCTCTGTCGGCCCTCAGAGTTGGCCCGGACATCTGGAGGAGATGCCGCTTCTCCACAGCCGAGCGAAGCCTCTTCGACAGAAGTCGCACCCTCCAGGGCAACTTTAGACCTGCATAAAGGTCTACCGGAGGGAGGCTAGCTGACGAGTCTCTTCATGAGACTAGGAGTGCCGTAATCCGGAACCGGAAGTCTTGTTATTGATTTATTGATCAACCCAATCACCACATTGCTTTCCAAATACTTAAATGTAAAACCGGAAAACTAATAAAATATTATTTAAAAAAAAAAAAGAAAAATGGATAATGAAATGTTGCCAAGCAAATAACCAAGCTCAGAGAGCACCAATGACTCCACAGTTCAACCCTGAGCTACATACTGCATATTATCTTCTATTTAAACATAAAATTTGTTTAAACAAGTTTTGGTGAATAGATGGGAAGGGTAAATCACAAACCATGATCTGCAGATCACAGTAGTTATGTTCAGCTAAATATTGAATTAAAACCAAGTTGTCTTAATTATCACATGTAAATCCAGTCTCAGGCTGATGGGAGTCTTCAGTGTTAAGCACATAGTTTTGATGGTATAATAGATACCATACACCATATTTTCAACATCCCTGCATATGATTGCTATAAAAAAACACAAACTCAATCTTAAAGACTTTTTAGGAGAACTAAAAACTAGATTAATATTCTGTGTAATTTTATGGGGCAAAACCTATATCTGGCATACTATGCACTGACAACTGTATATCCAAAATAGCTGTTGTAGAGCTGAAAAAAAGAAAGCTGTTGCCCTTTTTTTCTGACAAAAGCAATCAAAATGAAAAAACCTGGAGCAATTTCCAGAAAATAATTATACCTTTAATTGACCACAAAGAGTAATTACTATCTTACTATAGTGTAGAAAAAGTAGGCACAACAAGTTAATACCTATGGTTATTCATAATATACAGAAAACAATTTTTCTCCATTCCTGATAAAATAGAATTACTACTACACCATGTGTTAGACCAAGTAGTAATGCTATCCATCAACTATAAAAATTCAAAATCATGGGGATGACATATTATTTCTATGATGAAAACTAAGCAATGTGCTGAGGAACATAAACAGCAGAGTATAGTGTGTTTATGCTCTGCATATGTGTTACCCTTAGATAAATAGTGCTGACCACTGTAGGAACAGAGAGTTATATTAGACAAAACTTTCTGTTGCTTTATAGTAATATTTATATTCTTGAGATTGAAAAATGTTATGAAATGATTGAAATGTCATCTCCTTTCTATGTACAAAGAATGGTATGAGAAGATTAATCTTTTCCCAGAATGGCTTTTTTTCTGCATAGGATTGTATTTTTACTTGTGGCAGGGTCCATTTGCATTTAATACCTGGGTAGAAATCAAATATGCAAAATACTGGAGCAGCCCAGCTAGATCAGACAACCTATTAAAAAGCAACCCGTTTCCTACACAGTAAGATTAGATGCTCAGAAGTTCACAAGTTGAATACCTTTTTGACAGAACCATCACATAGTCAACACTATCAGCTCTCAGAACCACAGGAGTCAATCCATTTGTCATTCCTCCTAAAATGGCAACCTGCAACTACTCTGCCCTTTCTCTAAAGAAAAGGGAAAGGATTAGGGGTAAGAAATGTGAAATGACTTTTTTTATAATAACTTTAATATTTAATGTAAGTTTCCAATGATAAGTTACTGTAGGTTAACTATTCATCATTTTCCTAACAGAAGACCATGTCTTTGACAAGTACATTTAACAGATGTTAACAGACAAATGCATGAAAAGATCAACAGTGCTTCAGGTAAAATAGTTTATAGTTTTTAATATTTAAACTAGGTACATGTTATATACTTAGTGTAGGAAATTGTCCTAACCATGGAACAGGTTTTCAAGCTTCTATGCCTGAACCAAACATTTAGCTATTTTGGTCCATGCATGGAACAAAACAATGGAGTTTTGCTCCATGCATAAAACAAAAAGGGACTGTTTTGCTCTGTGCGGAAGTGGTGGGAGAAATCAAGACCCTGGTTGCTATAAGGAAAGGACACCATGGCTATCGGGAAGCAGAGAAAGTATTGGAAAGATCTGGGGGGAGGACAAGCTAAGATATGCTGTATTTGAATATTAGCAAAAGCTGTGTTGAGAGAGGAAAGATATTAGGAAAATAATAAGCAAGTAGATAGGATAGGCAGTACTGGGAGCTGCAAAGAGAATAGGGGCATTCCCCCCTCACAGGCATCAATATATAAAAGCAATAGCACAAATTCCTACGACACAACCGGCAACTGTTTCTGATATTTTAAGTTAGAGAAGACACACATAATCCAGCAGTACTGTTACAGCTGTTTTTTTTATTAACTTCAGTTTATGAGCAGCCTTTAAGATCAAAGCAATATTTAGGCATGAATGTTTAATTTAACTGGCTCAGTATTATAGGGGACAACAGCTGATACTCAAAATTGAAGTAAGTGAACCTCCTCTCTCCCTTTAGTTACCTAGAGATTAAAGGTATCAAGGAGTATCAATTTCCCTGAGTCTACATACACTACTATAGGAGTCCACAATTTGCTTAAGGACCAGCCAACAGATAGAAAGTTATTCATGCTGGATGCCAACCTCTTTGCTTTGCTCAGATCCAAATACTTGAATCACTACTTCCAGTCCAGTTTTTGTATTGACCAAAAGCATTGCTAGCTGGCTTTAATTTCAGCTTCTTCATTCTCACCTATTATCTAACTCTGTGGTTCTTAACCTTTTTGAACGAATTGCCCCCTTGAACCAATGAGGAAGCATTGCCCCCCCTCCCCCAACATAACCTCTCAATCACAACATAGGAAATAATTTTTCAATTTATGCAAATGCTATTTTTGTTTTCTTTAAAATTGTCATCAGGACATATCGATGCAAATAATTTATTTCCAGTCTTTTTCCCATATCTCAACTGTGTGAAAAATTTTGGTGCCACCGGTCACTTTATTCCCAAAACTTCGTGATGCATGTATTTCATTATTATCTTATTTATTCAAGACACTTAAATGTAATGACCACTGAAAACAAAATTCAATTGCAAGAAAGTGAAATGCCTGAAAAGAAAAACAGTAACATTTAGTGACTGAATTACAAGTGAAATTTAAGACGCAAAAAGAAATATAAAAAGGGCATAAGAACAAACCGCAATGCAGGAACTAAGAATTTCAAGACGAAAACTCTGAAACTAAATTAAGATTCGAGGAAAATATATATAGTCACGCACACTGTAAAAAGGATTAAAAAGGATTAAAAAGACACAAAGAAAATATATCGAACTGGAGTGCCACGCTAAAAAAGTACAATAGAAAGAGACACACAAAATGTTTTACAGAGCACAACAAAAATTCAAAAAAGCCGAAAACTCAAACTGGAATGTGAAATCCATTGCAAGCAAATACAACGATAAAAACTCAATTATTAACAAATAATTAACAAAAAACATCAATGGCTGCCTTGTGCTTGGTGAGCTGATGCCAATTTCTTGATGTCTGGAACCATTTTTGTTAATCACATTCTTAAATCACCTGCAAATTAAATTTTTGACTGCACTGGAACACTAGAAAAACACACGTGGACGTCGATAAACTTAGTTTCAACAGTTATGTTGACATTACAGCTGATGTCACAAGGGACAGCCACTCAGCATGCGATGTTTCAAAAGAAGCGCTCCCCCCCATCACTGCCCATTCTGGCCAATGGCGCGCCACTGAATGGGTAGAGGCTGCTGCGCAACATGCATGAAGATAAGCGATGCGTATTCACGTATGTACAGCATTCTGTACTGAAGCTAGTTGGAGGAACATTTGAAAACACAATTCAATCCATTAAATAGCGAGCGATCTGATAGATATACAGCGATTCACTGTACAAAAAAGTCTCAAAAGTGTTTCCAAAACTTCTCGCTCCATCGCCCCCATATCGCCCCCTTTTTGTTCCTTTGCTCCCATGTAGACCCTTGTCTTTCCATCACCCCCCCTGAAAAACAAAATCGCCCCCTGGGGGGCAATATTGCCCAGGTTAAGAACCACTGATCTAACTTAATGTTCAAAGCTGTCAATTGTTTTGGATTTTAGTGACTCTTTCAAGGTATTTATTTGCATAGCTGTCCCCCTCACTTGCACATGACTTTGGCCCAATAAACAATTAAAACACAAGCTAAACATTCATATAATTCAACCATTAAACCAGTTAAAAACTAAAATAAACACCTCACTCCAAAACTGGAACCCAGTCCAAGCCTACCAGATAATCTTAGGGTATTATAACAAAATTGTAACAATACTTCCCAGTAATGCAGATAATTTGCTAAGAGAGTTTTAAATAGGTTTGTTAAAAAAACAAAGCAGAGAAACACCGTCGCAAAAGAGAAATTAAGTGGAAATTACGAACAATTACCTTAACAAAGTCTACAAAATTATTAATCTGCATATAACCTTTAAAGCCTTGCCCTCGTGCATATCTTTTCACAGATAAATTAACTTATGTCGTCCTTAAAGTAAGAATGGAAAGAAATACACCCTATTTCTGCAATTGTCACCCAATTTACTTGGGAGTAGGATCGATATGAACGCACCAACACGAACTCGCGGGTATACAACTGTCCAAAGAGGCAAAGGGGGTGGGGTGAATCTCACTTACTCATAAAACCTCAGTCTTTGGCTTCGCTGCAACAAAATAGTAAAGCCTCGGTCCGGGAATTCTTCTAAGCCGACTGAGTCTCAACAAACTGCAGCCCTTTCTTCTCCATTTCTCATTTTGTACTGTTGTTTTATCCTAGTATTCACCTTTCCGGGAATATATCACGCCGAGTTTGACGGAGTTATGATTCCATACAGAGCAGCTCCCTAATTTAACATAACCATGAAAAGCGCAAAAGAGTCGCGCACAGCGCCTCCACCAAAGCCGGGGGCCGTACAAAAAAAAAAAAAAAACCCTACGCAGAAAAACACCCCCCCCTCCCTGCCCTAGTACTCCATCGCCCGAGCCGCCCGTCGCAAGTCCTTCTCCCAGCGAACAGGCCGATCTAGAAGCCTCACCTCCAAGATGCGTAAGACGCCCACGTTCCACTCGAAAATAACCGCCGCACTATTCAAACTCCGACATCCGGTTGCGTCACAAAAAGAGGCACGAGCGAAAAGAGCCCCGCCCCTTTTCTCCGTTATAAGAGGCTACATCCATTGAGCCGATTTTCTACTGCGCTGGTCTGAATAGAATTCTTAGATCGGAGGGAGGGGCTGGAGGTGTGGAAATTTTTTATTGGACTTTTGGCTGCTATTAGATAACCACATAGGGGACGTGAAGAGGCTGGGCGTATTTTTCATCTCTCCCCATTAAGTTTTCGGGGAGGGGGTGGAATTTTTCAGCAATGTGAATTTGTCAGCTGGAAAACCAGTTGCTCCTGCCGGAGTTTGAGCATTGCTTGCACAAAGGAATGGTTTGCATTATTGTGAAGTTGGCAAAACCATCCGTGATTCAAATTTTCATTGATCCGGGATTCTTGAATAAGCAACCCTCAACACGTTTACTTAGGAATAGCCTCCTTGTATGGAACCAGCCCATGTTTATTGGAAGAGATGAATAGATTTGTAAGGGCTTATTCAGCAAGATCCTTTCTACCCAGCCACTCGTAAAAACCCATTGATTTTAGTGAGGCTTATTTTAAATAGCAAAGAATTGCAGCCTTCCATTATAATCCTGAATCCTTATGTTAGTTTTACAAAAAATTATTTGTATCCTGCCTTTTATTTTTACAAATAGCTCAAAGTGGCGAACATATCCAGCACACCTTTGTCCTATTTTCCCCACATCAACAACTGAGGAGGACTGACAGAGAATGATTGGCCCAAAGTCAAGTTAGCTAAATTTAATGGATATTATTGTAACCATTGCAGTAAGGATTTCTCTATCCCACTTGAAAGACGGTGGGGAGACAATTATCAGACAAATTAACCTTAGATCCATTCCAAGAAACTAATTTGAGAAAAGTCTCAAAGTGAGGGAAGAGGCAAGCACATTCAAACTTGCAAGAATCAGTAACTATAGCTAATGTAATACAAGTGGTTGTAAACCTATGTGAACTGTTTCTTAAGTCTGATCTACTGTACTCTATAGGGCTGATACCAACAGAAGACATTGTTTTATGGAATGGACCTGGAGCGTGCTCAGTCTGTAGGATCTGGTGGGATGAGTACTTTTCAGTTGGAAATAGGTGGTTATGCAAGTAAACTGTCACTCTTCAACTGCCATGAAGGGATTTATCGGTGATAAGTGATAATCAGCACATTGAATTATATTTGGAAGTAATTAGTAGTCAAGGCAGATTGATTGATTAACAGGCTGGGATGCAACTGGGATGGAAGAGAACGGCAGCATGCCTGCTCCCATTCTTTTTTTGTGCATAGTGTCTCATACAAAATTAATTGTAAGATATATTACATGGAGCAGCACAAAATATGTGAGGGCATAGAAAGTGCTGCCCCACCTGAAAGCCATAACAGACCCACTGCCAACCCCTTTGCAATTTGCCTACCATGCAAATATATTAGCAAATGATGCTGTCAATATGGCACTGAACTACATCTTACAATATCTTGAATCCCCAAAGATGTATGCAAAGGTCCTTCTTGTAGACTTGTAGCTGGGCATTCAACACTATTTGTTCCAGAAATCCTCTCTAAACCAGACATGTCAAACACAAGGCCCGGGGGCCGGATGCGGCCCGAAGTGGTTTCATGTGGCCCGAGAAGCCATCCTGGAAACAGTGAGGGAATGGCCCCCACTGCCTTGGCCCTGGCCCAGGCCAGCCGGGAGCCAATATACAATTTTGTGGTGGCCATCTTGGATCTTGCCCCAGTGGACCATGCCTTGGCACTTGCCTCAGTCCCACCCCCTTCTGCCAGAGACCTTCAGATTTGTCCCACTCCTGCCCAGGCCCCCACAGGCACCCTTGATGCAAATGATGTAGAACTGACCACGCCCACCCAGTAGGCCACACTCACTCCATCCACGCCCACCCAGTAGGCTGCACCCACTCTGGCCACACCCACCCATCCCCCCCAAGGGCAACCGCAATGCTGATGTGGCCCTCAGTGAAATTGAGTTTGACACCCCTGCTCTAAACTGATTCAGCTAGCTGTATCTGACCACATTTGCTGGTGGATTATAAGCTTTCTAATAGATAGGAAGCAGCAGGTGAAGCTAGGTAAAATCACACATTGAATACTCATTAAATTAGTACAGAGTCCTCTAGGGCTGTGTGCTCTCTCCATACCAACAACTGCATTTTGAAGGATCCCTCTCTTAAAGTATTGAAATTTGCAGATGATACAACAGTCATTGGTCTTATTTGAGATGATAAGTCTGCATATAGATCAACTGGTTGCAGTTGTAACAATCTGGAGCTGAACGCTCTTTAAACTGTGGAGATGATAGTAGATTTTTAAAGAGTAGCTCTCCTACCACTTCTTACAATATTATACAATACAATATTATCAGTAGAGACCTTCAAGTTTTTGGGTTATATAAATCTCCCAGAACTTGAAACGGACACCTAACATTAGAACCATCATTAAAAAAGTACAACAAAGAATGTTCTTCCTGTGTCAACTCAGAAAGCTCAGATTGCCCAAGGAGCTACTGATATAGTTCTATAGAGGAATTATTGAGTATATCATCTGCCCACCTCAATGACTGGTTTGGCACAACAGCCATACAGGACAGGTACAAACTTCAATGGATAGTTAGGACTGCAGAAAAAATAATTGCAACCAACTTGCCTTTCATTGAGGACCTGTATACTGCACGAACCATAAAGAGGACTGAGAAAATATCTACAGACCCCTGAAATCTTTGACATAAACTGTTTTAACTTCTCCCCTCAGGATGCCGGTATAGGGCATTGCATGCCAAAACAACTGTGATCACATAATTGCACTTTTGGTGCTTGGCAACATGACCACATTTATGGCAATTTGCAATTTTATTATGGATTTGCCTCCTTTTACAATGGGTTTGCTTAATGACCAGGGTAGTCATGACTGCTGCTTTTGCTTAATAACAGCCAGAAAAAAGATAGAAAAATTGGGTCTACTTGAATTATGTGATCCACTTGAATTATGACTGTAATGGGCAGGCTCCATTATGGTCATATATCAAGGATTTCCTATATATATATTTGGATGGATGTATTACAATCTAGCTATCTATCAATACCCAAATGAACTATAGCAGTTTGCTGAAGCATGCTTTACTGCAGGGGTGTCAAACTGCCGGCCCATGGGCCGGTTTCATCATATCAGAGCCGCGCTCACTCCATTGCCGGCAATGGCGAAAAAGCTCCGATACGTTGCACGACGTCATGTGATATCGCAAGTTTGACATGTATGCTTTACTGAATAAATGCTAATTGGCTTAGTTTACACAATTCATTGACCTAAAATGTGGTTTGCAGACTATACTGGCTTGGATTCACATACTATGCTGAATTAAAAGCAGACAAATTACTACTAATAATCATTTAGTGGATTGTTTGAACCAAGTTTATATGTGAACTCAGAAAACATGAGATACGAATGAAGTGTTTTTTCCTACAACTCTGGTTATCTTTATTTCCAAGTTGTGTTTCATTTATAATACAATTATTGGGAGCAGTTAAAAGTACAACTTACATTGGATCCAATGCCATTGTAAATCAAGGACAACGTGTATTGGAAAGAACTGTTATTTTTGACCCCATAGTTTCTTTTCTAACAAAAAACAATGGTTTAACTGAACCAGGGATAGATGAATAAAGTAATTCTGCAAATATCCTAAATGCAGGTAGCATAGCCATTAAAACAACCACAAAAACACAATTAACAATAGTTATACAATAATGTTAAAGACCCTAATCTGCTGGAATAAATGCGTAGCATTTAGTAAATGAAACATCTTTGCTTAGGCTTTACAAATATTAAAGTCTAATGTTTGGTGTTTTCATCTGGGTTCTGTTTGAGCCTGTGGATTACAAGGAGGTAATTAAAAACCTCTCTAGAATGAGTTTTGCCACATGAGGACTGTCTTTAACTGCACTTCAGAAAGCAATACTGAATAAATCATCTTTCAATGTAACCTGATTAGACCATTTGTGCCTAGTCTTGAGCCTTTTCTTGGCCTATGAGTTGCAGAGTATCCTAGATGAAATATATTATTTGGACACAGTGGTGGGATTCAAATATGTGAACAACTGGTTCTCTGTGTGGATGCCGCTTCCTGAAGTCCATTCTGGGCCTGAGCCACAAAAAGTTAGGTACTAGTTCTCCCAAACTGGTGCAAACCTGTTGAATGCCACCACTGCTTGGACCTCTTTTAGCAGGAGTCCTGTTCCTGAATATGAGGCAGAAATCACATTGGTTTCTCTAATGGACAACTTACACTGGGACCTGGATATGAGTGGTGTGACAATTTTGCACTAGTTCCATCTTCTTGAGCAGGTAGTTCCAAACGCTAGTACTTTAGGAAAAGTAATCAAACCGCTGCCCGAAATCAGTATAAAGCCATTTGGACATTTTCCCCCCAAAGGTTTGAGATGAGATATTGTCAATATGTTAACAAAAATTAGTTCTATATCTCTACCCTGGGCCAAGCTGGAGATGTGATAATGGTCCCTAACTGGTGCCTGGAGTCTGTAGGGGATTGGATGGGAAGAAAAAGAATAAAACAATTCCTGCAAGGTATAAGCATGGTTTGTCCAAAATCCATCTGGTTTGCTGCTGATTCCTGTGTTGGCTTTATATAGGGTTGCATTATCCCCGAATGACAGTCAAATCAATAACTTGGGGCTGGGAGAAATTCTTCTGAACTCACAGCTACTGCTTTATCAGTAGATAATTCTATATCCAGAGAAGTTTTTTGCTTATATTTGGCTACTATATCAGTTG